AAAAATTGAGAAGAAACACAGTAAGAAAGATTCTCTGGAACAGAGGCAGCACAGCCTCGGAAACTGCTGGTTTATTACTTTTCTCTTTACTTACATGTAACTAACCCGTCGGGTGTCAAACAGGAAATGCATACAGCAGTTTTCTTGTTTTGTTACCAGGTGTCAGATCAGTTAGATTTTAGATCCTGGGGCTGTAGAGCGATGATCACAGTGTGGTTCTGGGCCCAGCACTGTCGGCACGCTCTGAGAACTTGTTAGAAATGCAGATTCGCAGCTCCATCCAAGACCTACAGAACCTGAAGCTCTGGAGATGGGGCCCGGTCTGGTTTAAAGCCGTTCAGGCGATTCTGACGCAAGGCGAGGCCTGAGAACCACTGTCCCCCAGACAGTTTACAAGCCAACCATTGGTTAGAGCGGCTGGCCTCGGCCTTTTCCTTGGTGACTCATTAAAGTCAAGGCTTTAACTTAAGCCAACCATCTGCTTTCCCTGATGACATTTATTCAAAACAGGGGCGATAGTTATGAACCTTCCTTAGAATGCCATGCACACAAGAAGAGAGGGGATGGGTTAACACTATTGAACACCTGCTGTGGGAGGCACCATGCTGGAGACTCTGACGTGTTATCTCCTTTCACTCTCATCACCATCCTGCTATGGAGGTGTAATTATTCCTGTTTTACGGATTTGGAATCTGAGACTGGACGTGGTTAAACGTGGACTTCCCTGCAGGTTATCTGCCCAGCTATCGTTGCATGTTTTGCTGTTTTCTCCCTAGAGCAGCTGCTCTCACACCTTGTGCATCACCAGGAATCCCCTCAGACGCCTGTTATAAATGCAAATGCCCGAATGTCCCTCTCAAAGATCCTAGTACAGAGGCTTGGGTGGGACTCAGGACTTTGGATTTCCATCAGGTGATCACCCAGGTGACCCTGCTGCCAGAGGCATCAGACCAGACTTGGAGAAATTCTGTCTGGGATCCGTTCATCCTTACCCAGTGGTTGGACCAGATGCCTCTCAAGGCTCCTCCGAGGGCCTGTGGTTCTCCAGGGTTCCACGCTCCCAGGCCTTGGGCCCTGGATGGGAACGTTGGCAGAGGAAACATGAGCACGGGAGGAGGGGGCTTGGAGCTCATATGGAGAAGTCTCTCTCGTGCCTGGCTCTTCATGTTCCCTCTGCTGCCTCCTGGAGGGTTCCCAGCCCATGTCTTGGCTTTGAGTAACTTGTGATGCTTTCTGTTATCTACCCCTAATGGTGCAACTTTCCTTATGGCAGCCTCACCCTTGTGTTGTGGGGTGCACAGATGTGAGTAATTTTCTCCAGGCTGTAATTCATATCTATTGAGTACTGAGTTACTTCAGCTTTTGAGGTCAGAAATGGTGTTTCATCTGTTTGATAAGAGCCTTTATTTTTTAGGGGTAGAATTGACATATTTAGTGAGTGAGTTATCAGTCCACTAGGAGACAATGATTTGGTGCCATTATGAAGGCAAAAAGTATGTGCAACTTTAAAAAAACAATTTCAGGTCTGATGCCTGATGTCCTTCGTGAAGTGGCATGCTGATTTCTGTCTGGAAGCTCAGAAGCAGCTACTGACATACATACTCTTAAGACTTAGGTTTTGTGAAAGAGAAAATGTGTATCAGAAGATGGTGGACACCTGGCCTTTGCCCAGTGCAGAAGTCAGAAATGTTGAAATATTAGGGTCCTTTAATATGTCTTGGTTCCTGAACAAATTGTGTAGGACAAGAGTGGAAGACAATTCACAAGAGCAAACATTTCAGCTTGCCGGTAAGAAAATAACCAAGGTACAGCTTAGCTTTCTAATAATACTTTGTCTGCTACTGATGTTAGAGTTGATAATAACAGGATAGTAGCTAGAGCTACCATTTACTTAGAGCTTACTATATGTCAGGTATTATACAAAATCCTCTCATTTAATCCTCAACAGACTTTCGAAGTAGATATTAGCCTTCATTTTATAGATGATGAAACAGGCTCAAAAGGATGAAGGGACTTGCCCAGCGCTGAGGTTTCCAGGGACTCAGGACTTGCAGGGCTGAAACTCCGCCAGCTCGTCCTGGGTAACCTGGGATTGGTTACCCTGAGGGTCTCTCAGCTGCTGACCCACAGTTGACAGTTAGGAAGTAAACCCAATGGGTTCTGCACAGTCAGACAGATGGTTCCTATATTGAAACTTGCCGATCAGCCTCATATTTTCCTCCATTTTGTACACTTTATACACAGTTCTAGTAAGCTTGATCATTTGGTTTCCAGGTGTCTTGTCAATTGGAAACTGCACATTGGCCTGGCCAGTGTTGCTCAGTGGCAGAGTGTCAACCTATGAACCAGGAGGTCACAGGCTTGATCCCTAGTTGAGGCATGCAGAAGGCAGGAGAGATCGATGGTTCTCTCTCATCATTGATGTTTCTGTCTCCCCCTTCCTCTCCGAAATCAACACAAATATATTTTTTAAAAAGAAACTGCACATTGGAAGGGGGAATGGGTGATTCTAGAAAGGCGTGGCCAGGGAAAATGAAATAAACCAATAAAAAACACAGTCAGTACAGAGGTCAGGAGGCATTTATTACAGGGGCAAACATACCTCAACACGAACAACTATTATTGAACATTTACTATTTATTAGTGCCAAACACTAAGTACTTTATAGGTATTAGATTATTACATTTAATTAAATACTAAATTATTACGAGATGATCCTGTTATTATCCGCTCCCCAGATGAGGAAACTGAGGCACAGACAGGTTAGGTAACTCCTGAAGGTCACACCGTCAGCTAGTGGCATAGCTGAGATTCAAAGCCAGACAGCCTGTTTCCAGAGCCTGGTCCTCAACATCCCGCTTCAGTGGGGGTCCGTCCTAGACCCTGAGCACAGCAAGTTCATGATGTTTATTGTGATGCCCCAAATCAGCTGAGAACAAAAAATATTAAAGTACGGGCATTCATTTTCTTTTGTATTAATTAAACATTTTAAAAAAAAATCAAGATTACACCTGGACATAGTTCTACAAAGCCGGCTGCAAAAAAACATCAGAGTCCCCTCCCCCAGCTCATTTCCTGCTGCGGAGAGTCCTCCGCTTTCAATTCTTACAGCTAGTTGACTCTTGCTGGTAGTTGCAGCCTCTGTCTCTAAATGACATACTTATATTTGTATGGTTGATTATTTTCCGTTTTAGGCATTACCTATTGACACTGTACTATGGAAGAAGAGAATTTTAGCTTGTTCTCTACCTACCTCTATTACACTTGTGTACCATTCCCATCCCCTCCTTCATCCCACGGCACATCCTAGTTTTAGTTAGATCAGTATGTTCTTGGCTCCTTTTATCTTTAGGCCTTCCCTCCTGGGTTGGGCAGATTGTCCAGAGAAGATCATTTGAACATGGTCGGTGGAGAATGCCTGCATTCTGGAAGTCATTGCATGGGCGGGTAGTGGTGGTGGTGGGGGGATCTCAATATTCACTATGTAACTTCGCACTGCCTCCCTCTGTCTCCACTGGAGTTGGTATGCCTCTGAGAGCCTCCAAGAGTTTGACCCTCAGAGTTTTACTCTCTCCAGAGAATAAACCTTTGACTTCTGTCAGAGCTGGAGGAGTCACAAGGCTGGGACCTAAGCAGACTTCCACCACTTTCAGCAGTAACTTGACCCTCCCCCCACCTCCAGGGATGTTCAGCTCCAAAGGCCTGAGCCTTTCTGGAGATTCTGTGATGAGTTGCTTCTTGGCCTTCCCTCCTGGCAGATGAGTCACCTTTCCTGGTCTGCTAATCGGTTACCTCATGTCCATCCATAGGGTGTCCCAAAATTCACGCAGGATTTGCAAGTGAATTGAATTGCAAATCCTGCGTGAATTTTTGGGACACCCTATACTTTCTAGCTTCCAATATTTTAATGTTGTTATTTCCACTCGCTTTGTCCTTGTGAGTTTATGTCTAAGTACAATTCCTTTATTGTTATATTAGTGGGGTTTGGGAAGGCGGCAGAACTAAATGTGTGTGTTTCAGATGTCACCTTTATCCTGAAGTCTGAAAGACATTTTAGAAAGCTTTCCATGCAGAGGGGTCAAAAAGGTTTTGTTGCTCTGCTGGATAGACCGATAGTTCTCTGGAAAATGGGATTGTCTATATTTTACCTGCTACTCAAAGTGTAGCTCTAGGACTGGGTGCATTAGTATTACCTGGGCATCACCTGAGTGCTTGTTAGACATGCAGATTCCTATTGAATCATAATTAGGATTTTATCAAAATCCCTAGGAGAGTCCTATGCAAGCTGAAAGCTGAGAAGTGCTAATATGAAACTTTATTCAACTTCTGTAATTAGACTAAGCTAACTCTGATGAATTTTAATCTGGGATTTAAAAATCTTGCTACAGCCACACTAGTGTGGCTCAGTGGTTGAGTGTCAACCCATGAATCAGGAGGTCATGGTTTGATTCCTGGTCAGGGCACATGCGCGGGTTATGGGCTTGATCCTCATTGAGGGACATGCAGGAGGCAGCCAACCAGTGATTCTCTCTCATCATTGATGTTTCGATCTCTCCCTCTCCCTTCCTCTCTGAAATCCATCAAAATATATTTTTAAAAAATAAAAATCTTGCTACATTATTCTACTAAATTATTCTTCAAAGTCGAAGGTTGCTGTGAGATAATAAAGAATAGTACATAAGTTTTCATGAAAATGCACCCTTTCCCCTTTATACATCTGAGTCTATACATCTGAGTTGGCATCAGATGTGAACCAAAAATTCTGTTACCATGAAAGATGTCAGACTGGTTACGTTCACTTTGTTAGTTCCCCACAGTTCTTTCAGTTGGTGATGGGATTTTGGAAATTGGGCAGGTAGAGTCTTCTGTGACACTTTGAGCTGCTAACGTCATAGTGGCTTCTAGTGGCAAAGGATATAGTCACTAATTTTTTATGTCCGGCATCTATCTCAATGACAGGTAAGTGTTCAATAAATGATTGTGGAATGAGTGCATCTATTAAGACACAATTCCTGAGTTCCAGATATTCACCAACCAACCAGGAATAAGTCCGTTAATTAGACAGGGTTGACCAGTTTGAGGAAAAAGTATGGAGAAAAGGCATCCCACTCAGCATTGCTCCTTAGAAGGAAGAGCCAAAGAACACGTCTCCTGGGAACAGAGCTCGGTGGATCCAAACCAGAGGCTCAGTTCAGCGTCACCTGCCTGGCTCGTTAAAACACAGACTGCTGCCCCATCCTTGGGATTTCTGATTCGGTAGGCCTGAGGTGGGCCCCAAAATGTGCATTTTACACAGTTTCCCAGGTGATGCGGATGATGCTGATTTCACATTTTGAAAACCACTGGTTTAGAGAATTACATATAGTTCTGGTGGCTGGAGGCAGGAGTCAGGGAGTAGTAAGAGACACTGAAGGCAGAAGCCTAACGAGTAGGGATTCCACTGTGGAGGTTGTGGGGGCCATTGGCAGGTTTTACAGAGGACAGTGACGGGCCCCCGTTTGTCTTCTGGAAAGATCCCTTTGGGTGCGATGTGGAGGATGCGTCAGTGGTGGGGCCAGGATGAGCGCCAGAAAAACAAATACATGGTTAATGGTAGCCAGCAGATGGGAAATAAAAGCTTGGAATAAAGGCGAGAGAAGGAAAGATCCCTTCAATGTGGTGGCCAATCGGAAGAGGGCGGGGAAGAACGGGAGGAGTCAGTGAGGACCATCCGATTTCTGGCTGGGCTTGTTGGGACTGTGCTACTCAACACACAGAGAGAAGTGGGTCTGAAGCAGGGCCCGGGGAGAAGAGCAAAGGAGGCAAGTTGAATTTGAGATGCCAGGAAGATACCTGGGTGGACCCCCCGGCAGATAATTTTACTTACGGGTCTGGAGGCGAGAAGCGAGAGTTCTAGTCAGTCATCTTAGCCCCATTCCCTCCACCACTTCCATGCGTCTCCTTTATTCCTTGGAGGGGCTCGAGAACAAGACACTTTTAAAGATGTTTTCTCAAGAAAACAAATATTTAACTTTTTTGATTGGGGCAAGAGAACGAGTTGAAGTACAGACTAGTCTTTAACACAAGAAGCCGCCTTCTGTCGAAGAGGCCAGTCAAATCAGGTTTTAGAAAGCTTGAAAGGGTAAAATCACTTGACTAGTCTGCAGACCATATGACGAACAGCTGAGGCTAATTAGCTGGGTTGTGGGTTTTACAGAGATGCCTGATTTTGAAAGTTGATGGAGCAAACTGCTTTTCAAAAGACTCTTTTGAAAAAGTTTTGTAAGTAGGCGATTCTGACTTTAACATTTCTCTTTGTATTAGATAAAAAGTCAGCTTTTTGAAGAGGACATGTGATTGGAAGTTGTCTAATTGTTGAAGTGTTGGGAACTCCAGTCTCTAAAGTCTTAGAAAAACAACTGAGGATTTATACTTTGGCAAGGTATGTTTTACATTTTTCTTTTTTTTAAGTCTTTGAGTTCTGCCATGTCATTTTCAGGCACTTAAAGTGTGTGCAATTTAACATATACCACTGCACATATTAGTTTGTTTTTTTTTAATCAAAGACTTTAAGATGTCTGCTAAATTTCTTGAGTTTAGTTTGAGAAAAGTGCATTTGCAATTACCAGAGAGGGGGTATGAATACTGACTGCGTTTCTCCTTTCTTTTCTGCACTTTAATAAAGTAACAGGTTTTTATTCTCAGATTGTATGTTGATTAGGAGAGCTGACTAAGGAATTGAGTTGTCCTCAGAGTCTTGTTCATCCTCTGAGGATTTTATTCACAAAAATTCAAACTTATTGGGATTTTGTTTTTAATATTGTCAATAGCTTTTATGTTAAGTATGTGTTTTGGTGGAAGTTGTATTTTATAAGGTGTATCTTTCCTATGAATTAAATTTGCCTTAATCTTGTTAGGTTTGGTAATAGCATTGTGGTTATGTAAGGAAAAGGCCATAGATTGGGGGGGGGGGTTAATCAGTATGCAGTGATGAAAGATCTGGGTGATGACTTTGAAGCACATTTCATTACTTTTGGATCTGTACACTTGTTTGCTAGGGCTGCCAAAACGAAGTACTACAAACTGGGTGGCTTCAACACCAGACATTTATCATCTCAGTTCTGGAAGCCAGGAGTCTGAGAGCAAGGTGTCGGCTGGGCTGGCGCCTCCTGAGGCTTTTCTCCTTGGTTTGTTGATGACCGTCTTCTCCCTGAGTCCCTTCCTGTCATCTTCTGATTATGCATGTCTGTGTCCAGATTTCTTCTTCTAAGAACACTAGACAGATTGGGTTAGGGTCCACCCGCTTGATGATCTCCCTAAAGGCCCTATGTTCAAGTAAGGTCACATTCTGAAGTACTAGGAGTTAGGACTTAAATGTATGAATTTTGGGGCAACACAGTTCAACTCACATTTGAACAGGTTTCATAATATCATATTTTAGAGATGTGCCTGCAAGTGCATTCAATCATCATTTGTTAGCCAAGTGCCTAGAGGCTGTGCTGGATGTTGAGTGTGTGAAGATGAATGGGACATGGCCTCTGCCCACTAACGCTGGTTTAATTAAATATATGGGTGTAATTTCCTGTGTCCTGTGTATGTGTTTACTTATCTTTTCTGTTGAGTTGTGGTCACTTTCACAGCCAGGTGTCCCTGGCCACAATCAGAGTCCTGGCACGTGAGCAGCCTAATACTCTTTGAGAGGCACCTGGAAGGGCTCTCTCACTCCTGAGTACCCTCCACATAGGCTAGGAGAGTGGGAGGACCCTTACATTCATCTAGTAGAACCTCCCCATTTCACAGATGAAGAATTGAGATTTGGAAGTGCTAATGTCATTTGGCTGATTAGTGTCAGAGCAAAGGCAGTGTCCTGTCTTCCACTGTGGCGTGCTGACCAATACCTCGCTTAGTTTTCTTTGCCACACGTTCATGCTTTTCATCTATTCAGAAATCACTGTGGAAAATAGCCTTGATAAAAAGCTGACATTCTCTGTCAAGATTCTTGGATTATAGTTACCCCCCAAAAAAAAGCTTTAGGGAGGAATGTTTATTCATGAGGGAGGTTCATCCATAGAATGTCCAGATTGGATTTAAAACATTCCAAAGGGGTTTAATCTTATCTTGGTTGTTTTCTCTGTCTCTTACATTTTCTCCTTGTTCTTCCAAGACATAGTATTCAGTGACCGAGCAGCCATTAGAATATAAACATTTTTTCTTCTTTCCTGCTGCTGCCCACAAGACAGAAACTGTGGCAGAAGAGAATGTTGATGAAACTTGCCAGCTAGCTGATGGCACCATGGCAACCAGGACCTGTGCATGTGAGCTGGTCTCAGCGCCTCTACTGCTGTTTCAGCCTCTGCCCTCCATAGACCCTCAGTACCTGAGTGCTCAAAGAGGAAATGCTCACCACTTCCCTTGGTTTCTGTTTTCCCTTTTTAGGATTAAAGTTTCCTCAAATATCTGCCCATCTTTTGCTATTATTATTTCTTTCTTCTTCCCTTTGCACTTGGTTGATTTAGAGCTAGAGTTCAGGCTATAGCATATGTGATAGCTGACAAGTCATGTAATATGCCCATTCAAAACAAAAGCTGATTTTTGCAGAAGCCATCATTCTTCTGTGCTGTCTTTGCAATAGGACAGCTTCCTGTTTCTTCCACGTTTCTGGTGTGGCTGGGTCCTGGCGAGGTCCCTGCCCTCTGGTGCAGCAGAGGCTGGATCGGTGGGGATTGGAGGGTGGGAGGTAATGAATGAGATGAGGGTGCTGCTTGAGAGAGGAGTTTGCATTGTTGCAGCCTCTGGAGATAGGAGCCACTTTGCACAAACACAGATGCAAATCATCCAGGGCATTGATTTTTTGTTTGTTTTCCCCATCCCATGCTTTATTAGGCGCGTCTTCTCCCTGATGTAGTTTGCGAGGGGATCCTTTAGGCATGAATGCTAGATTCACCATTCAGCAATATTGAATGGATCCGCTGTTTCACAAGAAAGAGAAAGTCCAGACTGTTTTAAGCTCGTTCCTCTATGCTGTGGTGACTGACCAGCTTATGGACTATCATTTTAAAAATCTCCTTCCTAGTGTCCTTTTCGGATCTCTCTTACTGATCCTGATATTTTGGCTCTCTCTTCACTCTAAATATCTTTGTTATCACTCCCTTGGCCTCAAGAAATCAACCATGTTGATGACTCTAAAATCCATATTGTTAATCCTTATTTTTCTTTTGTGCCCGAGTTCAGTTTTCCAAATGTCAATTAAACACAACTCCCTGGATGTCCCTCAGACATGAGGGACATTTAGTTGGACGTGTCCCAGAGAGTATAACGTATTTGAGAGTGTATCTGGGTTCAGATTTTGGCTCTGCTTTTTACTGGCTGTGTGACCTTGGAGAACTTACTTAACCTTCCTGTGCATCTGTTTGTTTCATCTGTAAATTAGCTCATTGGGTTGTTGTGAGGATTAAATTAGTATTTAAAAGGGCTTAGAAAAGTACTCAGTACATGTTAGTTATAATCATCTCAAACCATCTTTTCCTCTAAATGATAATACTGTTCATTCAGTTATCAAGCTAGAAGTTTTGGTTATCTTTAACGCCTATTCCAGTCAGTTAAGAAGTTATACTGATTTTTCTTCCTCCTAAATATATTTTGAATTAATCCCTTCCTCTCTATCCTCACCATTAATGACACAAGTCACTCACCATCATTCCCCATTCTCCTGATCTTCTGTGTATTCTCAGTCTCCATGTGGCTGCCAGAGACATCATTCTAAGGCACAGACCTTGTGTCCTTCTCCTTCACAAAAGCCTGCAGTGGCTTTCCATTGCCCAGAGGAAATGGAAACATGTTAGGGCCATATAGGAGTCCTTACAGGCCTAGGTCCCAAACTCCCATCTTCAGCCTCTGTTTGGACACATCCTTTTCTCTCTCCATGCACCCATTAGCCACATCCATCTGCCCATGTCCCCTAAATCCATCATTACCTTTTTCTGTCTTATTCCTTTGGAAGTATGAGTGCTCTCCTATCCTCCCAGTCAGTCACGCCAGTACTTGCTTCTTTCTCATGGCTCTAAGCTTGGCCTATAATTTTATGTCTGGCAGCCCTTACTTCCATCAAAAATCAGTTACACCTTTTATCGGATTGGCATCAATGACCATTTTGTTGATAGTGTCTATTCCCTTTAAAGGATAATACTTATTTGACATATGATGTGCAGCCCTTTACCACATCATCCTGTGAACTGTCTGTTCAATACTTTTGTTGGTCATAACTAGCACAGTAAAACAGGAAATAAAAATAAAAGGCATAGAGAGTTATTGGTGCTGCCAGGGTTCAGGAAGTCCTGTTCGTGACGCCATTAATATTGGTGAATGTTTCTCAGCATCTGCCAGGGTTCAGGAAGTCCCTGTTTGGGTGCCATTAATATTGGTGCTGCCAGGGTTCAGGAAGTCCCAGTTCGGGCGCCATTAATACCGGGGTTCTTGTTCCAGCATTAAGAAGGGTTCAGCAATCTGGAGAAGGCTATGTGTAACTTAAAGAGTCCAGAGACGAAGCATAATTTTGAAAGGCATATGGGGGTCAGAGGAGCTTAGCTAAAAGGAACTAAGATCTCCTCGTCTGAGAGACCCCATGCTTTTTATTAACACAAATTGTCCTGAGGCGAGGCAGAGAGATACACTTCAAAGGGGTAAGGTTTCGTATACAGAGGCATTGTCAGAATGGGGGAATTAGCCTATGGCTGTTCAGGTGTTTGGCCAGTAGGAGGCAATAACATGTAGATTAAGATGCCCTGAGCTGTCTGGCAGCAAGCAATCATCCCTTTTCAGGTTTGGGGAAATGCCTTCAGCCATTCCCAACAGGTGACAACATATGTGACTCAGCCCTTGCTGAGTCTCCAAGTTCCATCAACCTTTTGATGAAACTCTTGCAATTATGACATGCTAGAATTGGCTTTTGGCAGAGAGTAAAAAGGATAAACAAAATGTACTATTTTTAGCTAACAAAGCATTAGCATTTGTGTGGCTAAGTAATAAATAGAAGATATGTATGATATTACTCATAATAGTGACACAAATATCAAGTATCAACAGTCTAACGATGTGAAAGATCTTTATGAAGGGAATTTATTGACAACAGTTTTAAAGGCATTTAAAAGACATAAATACATGGACACAGATAGGTAGGGTCAATATTATGAATATGTCAGTGTTCTAAATTTCATCTATAGATTTAATTTATGTGGAACTTAGATGGAAGTGTGAAAGGTCAAGAATGTCCATAGTACAGTGGAGGGGACTAGTCCTCCCAGACATAAAGTTGAATTGTAAAGTCATGGTAATTAAGGCCTTGTGACATTGGCCCCGGGGTAGTGAAAATGACCAAAGGGACAGAAGAGAGAATCCTAAAACAGATCTGACCATATATGTTGAATTTTTTTCAATAAATGGTAC